ATAATCTTAGATTTATTGTTTTAAGCTGATAAATTTTAATTATGATTTAAAAATAGCGGGTGTCAATAGTAGGTACATAAAAATTAACATGTGTTTAACTAGCGACAGCCTACAATTTTAAGAAATTTAACTTCTTTAACATACATAGTGGATTCGTTTACATGTTGTCTCGCGTAATTTTATAATAAAAAAAGAATTGTCTGAGCAAAGTATTGTTGTACGATAATTACATTCGGTGCATTATACATGTAATTATCGTACATTCGGTGCATTATTATTAATAATTGTGATTATAAATAATCGGTTTTATAAATTTTTTATAACTAAGTAGTGACAAAGAATGCAGGAAACTCTTTTTTATAATCTTTGTTTCCATAAAATAAACAAAAATTCATTATTTCGACGTAAATTTCTGTAGGCTGTATAAAGTTGCAATTTTTCTTTTGAATTAATTTTTTTTTTGTAAAAATTTCATAAATAAATTAGTTCCCTGCTTTTATTATTCTATTTTTTATATGTGGTTTAAATTTTATTAAAATCTGTCCAAAATTTAGCTCAAAACAATGCACCAAAAATCTTCTTTCATGGCTCCTTAAGTAAAAGAAAATTGTACCACCCAATGGAATAGTCTTTTCTCAATAATACATATTTTTTGCAACGACATAAACTATAATTTTTATATTAAATTTTAGCGTCTAACTATACCTCCTAATTTTCAAAGCGGTACCCAGAATTTAAACAAGCTGGAGCCGTATAATTTTAACAGCACTCTTTAACTTCTAATAGGTTTATAGAATAGTGATCAGCATTGTGATTTGTATTAATTACTGCAAATTAAATAAGTTTTATAGCTATAAATTAGTGTAGTTAAAAATTATTGAACGTTTTGAATTGAGTTTTTTTGATTTATAATTGAAAATTTACTTCGTCATCCATGAAAAATGTAATTAAAAAATTAAATACAAATATTTCTCATTTTTAAATGAACATATTAAATATTCACAGTATTATTTTCAATATTAATCAATAATATGTTATAATTCTTTTGATATTTCAATAAAACGTTGAAAATTATTGCTGTGCCTATCGCCATATATTTTATTAGTTCAACTACTGCTCCCGGAGTGTTCAACTACTGCGGCTTGTCGAAATTGATTGTTCAAGTACTACTCCTTTCATAGTCTATCTTAAAAACGTTGTCAAATTATAAATATTCAATTATTTATGTTATTTTGCACTTCGATCAATTCAAAATTGTTTATATTTTCATGAAAATCACTAATTTGAACTAATAATTACATTTTTATATATTAAAAGTAGGGTCAAATACGTTTTACTTTAAAACCTGTTCAATTACTGGGTATACTTTACCTTATATATAATTATTTTCAAAGTTGCAAAGATCTTTTTTGGTTTTTTGAGTTTCGATGATTCAAACTGGATTTATCAGTTTGAGTTAAAATTCAGGTGGAAAGGTGAAAGATAGGAAAAAATTAACAACAACTTTTTTGGTAGAGAATCAAATTTCTTACCAAAAAGGTATCATTTTTTCGTATCTTAAATATTTAGCCCAGAATTTTAATTTTAATTTAAGGATGATCTAAAATCAAATTTGAATTTGAAATTCTGGCTAAATAACAAGAGATAGAAGACAATTGATAAGGACCTTTTCGGTAAGATAGTAAAATTTTCTAAAAAAAAGGTTTCTTATATCCGGCTTCGCCCCGGACCCCGTTGTTAATTTTTGTATGAGAAATTTTTGTCGAGATAAATTATTACGGATTACAGTGTTGAAATAAAAACATTACCGATGATCCATTATTGTCTAAGATATTATTGTAGGATTAATTTTGGCAAAAATTAATTATGATGTTGATAAATATTTAACTGATAATTAATTACTGAGAAATTATGACCTAAGAAATTTTGCCTTGATAAATAAGCGACTTTTACCTTTTTTTTTTTTGTATTTTTATTATTTAGTCTAGAATTTGAAAATTTTATTATTTCATATTGCTCTTTTGACAACAAAAATTTTTCTGTATGTATAATAAAATTATTTTTGAATTAAATTATAAAATTTTCCAAATAATTAATAATATATATTAATAATTATTATATTATTATATTATAATAATTGTGATGAATTTTAGGAGATCAATGAGTTGAAAGACCGGATGGAAAATCTGTCAGCACGATCAGTGGACGGCAGCGAGTCGACATCAAGCCAGTGGGAGTTGGAACTACAATCCGTACTAGCAATAAATAATTACTCAAAATCGTTAACTAGCAGCCCGGTTAACGCATATAGTTTCAATAATAAAAAAGACAATCTTAGTAGTAATAATAATAATAATAATAATAATAATAATAATAATAATAATAATAATAATAATAATAACGATATTAATGAACTAACCGAATTGATCAACGAATTGTCAGATAATCAAAATAACTTAGACAATAACGCAAATGGTCTAAACAATGAATCTAAGGACAATGTGCCAAGTAATGTCTTTACTAATAATTCTGACGTCAGTTCAACGAGAGAACCTGAAAAAGATTCTCATGTCCAAGCTCAGTTTATTGAAAGTCCAAAAAAGAGAGAACCGACTTGTAAAATTTCAAGTGTTAAAGAACTGCCACTGCTTTCGATCTTCAACAGGTCTAGTTCTCTGAGAATGTCCAGAGATCGCAGTTGCAGTATGGTTAATTTGGACGATAAAAATAATATTAAATCCATACTTGACAATACTGATTTGAAAAATATACAAGCGGTTAGTGTAGAAAGATTAGCTTGTGCTCGTAATATTTTAATGTCTGATAAATAAGTCTATTTATTGCAATACGTCGATTGATTAGTCGAAAATTTTTACACTTAGAATACGGATTGTTTTTATATACAGTGACTATTTATTAATTAGTTTATTGTTGTTGTGCATTGCAAATGCTCAAAATATTACCGTTGAAAAAGCTTAAGAGCGTATGAAAAAATTTTTCTGGGAATCAAAGTAATTATGTTCTAAAAGTATAATGCTGACAAAAATTTTTTTCTCTATTCTGATTGAAGCATTTTTTAATAATTAATTAGCATTATTAACTGTTAATTAACAATTTTTTTTAATTAAAGAATTTAAAAAATATTTATTAACAGTTAATAGATTCTTCTATCAGTGTTCAGAAATTAACTTAACAATTAAAAAAAAACTTGGATTAAAATTAGTTTTAAAAATCTCCGCTAGGTGGCTACAGTTCTCGCAGTTAGAATTATAAACTTTGGGTATTTAAATCCACAAAAAAAATTTTAGAGGTCTAGGGTTAAAATCCCAGACAAAGTCATTTTTTTAATTTTTATATGTACTGATAGAAGGATTTTTTAATATTTAATAAGTATTATTAACAGTTAATTAAGAATTTTTTTTAATTAAATAAATTAATAAATAATTATTAACAGTTAATAAATTCTTTTATCAGCGTGTTCAGAAATTAATTTAATAATTAAAAAAAAATTGGATTATAATTAGTTTTAAAAATCTCCACTAGGTGGCTACAATTCTCGCAGTTAGAATTATAAACTTTGAGTATTTAAATTGACGAAAAAAAATTAAGAAGTCTAGGGTTCAAATCCCAGACAAAATCATTTTTTTAATTTTTATATGTACTGATAGAAGGATTTTTTAATATTTGAGACGACGCTCTAACTAGCAAATTGTCTAACTCCATTTTAGAGAATCTTCCATTTGTACGAAAAAACAATTAGTTCAAAATTTATTATCACTTTAGAAAACAATTTAATATCTTATAGAAGTATAATATTTTGGTTTGAATCATTCAAATAATTTATAATTAGACTATTGCTACATCAAAATGTTAAAAAATCACCCTCTTAAAAATAAGAAGTTATAGACCAATTGCTAATTAGACCGTCGAAGTATTATTAACTGTTAATTAACAATTTCTTTAAATTAAATAATTTAATAAATATTTATTAACAGTTAATAAAATCTTCTGTCAGAGTGTTCAGAAATTAAATTAATAATTAAAACAAAATTGGATTAAAATTAGTTTTATAAAATCTCCGCTAGGTGGCTACAGTTCTCGCAGTTAGAATTATAAACTTTGGGTATTTAAATTCACAAAAAAATTTTTAGAGGTTTAGAGTTCAAATCCCAGACAAAGTCATTTTTTTAATTTTTATATGCGCTGATAGAAGAATTTAAAAATTTTTAATAAGTATTATTAACTGTTAATAAACAATTTTTTTGCATTAAATCGTTTAATGAATATTTCTTAACAGTTAAATATTATTTATTAATAAAGATTCATTAACTGTTAATAAATTTACTTTTCTTCAAAAAAATATTTATTAATAGTTAAAAAATGTTAAGTTTTATTTAAAAAATCGAAAAATCTTTTCCAAATTAATTAATTAATTAATAATTGATAAATTCTTCCATCAGAGTGTTCAGAAATTAATTTAATAATTAAAAATAAATTGGATTGAAATTAGTTCAAAAAATTTCCGCTAGGTGGCTACAGTTCTCGCAGTTAGAATTATAAACTTTGAGTATTTAAATTTACTAAGAAACTTTTAGAGGTCTAGGGTTCAAATCCCAGTCAGTCATTTTTTTAATTTTTATATGTACTGATAGAAGAATTTAAAAATTTTTAATAAGTATTATTAACTGTTAATTAACAATTTATTAATATTAAATAATTTAATAGATATTTATTAACAGTTAAAAATTATTCATTGAAAAAGATTCATTAACTATTAATAAATATACTTTTCTTTCAAAAAATATTTATTTTTTTCGCAGTAATATATTTTTGGAACATTATTATCTTGAATCTCAAATAAAAAAAATTTTTTTATATGTCCTTACAGCATCTGTAAAGCGATATGGTAGTAAATTTTCAAAAAAAAAAAAAAATCGGCCATTTATGGATTTAATTAAAAATTCTCAATAAGTAGATGAAAAAAAACTAGTCGAGTTGTAGTAATAAACTGTATAATTGCCATTTGATACTCGTAATTAATGAATTATTTAAATTTAAATGTACAATTGAATATGTTAGGAGTGTTAATTATAAATAGTTTTTTTATTACAACTAAAGTATAAAATTTTATATAAAAAAAAATTTTATTAATATTGATCAATTGAAAACCAATAGTTAAAAATTTACCAACTTGATGTGTCTAATAATTATTGAAGTTAATTGTTAATTATCTTGCCAATCAAACAAACAGTAACTGAGATTAATAATTGATTATTAATCTTGGAAGCATATTATATATTGTAAAAATTTTATTTATTTTTCCCGCTAGCACATTTTTTATTTTTTCACTTTTTATTAATCAAACTAAAATTCAATTTTGTTAATTATATTTTTATAATAATTCTTTTTTTTATTAATTATTAATTGTTATATAAATAAACTATAATAATTTAGTTCTTTTGTTTTGATATATTTTTATACTAAAACATTTATCTATTTATATTTTTATATAATTAACCTAAAAATGGAGACAGGAACTTCAAGAAAGCTCAAAAAATACAAGTCACGTGTTCCGCGTCTGATAAGAAGTAAATCCGAGCCGAGCCAAGATTACGAAAAAAATTATGAAACAGATTTCAATGAAAGTGAAGCGCATTGTGATCATTACACGGAAGACGAGTCTCAAGAATACGACAACGAAGAAGAAGACGATGACAAGGAAGAAACAAGCAGAGTCAAAACTTTTGGGTTAGGATTATGCTCCGCGTGTCATCTGACGGTGGATTCAAAAATGGGCCGTAGCAAGTCATCGCCTTGCCATGGCGACCATCTTGTCTGTCAGCGATGCGTTAAACATTGTTCAGAACCAGGTGAGTGATTTCTTCCTCAAAATATTTCTTATGTTATTAAAGTTATAGTCCAAGATCCATGGACCATTTTTGGACTTGATTACTATCAAGCTAATTTTCCGTGAATAGCTTCATTTTGATAAATACGTGCTAAATTAATTTTCATATATATTTTTTCTACATAGGGTAAATGCACCAATTATTGACCGATTAAAGTTTTCTTTTTCTGTACTAAGCTGTAAAAAATCTATTAACTTACTAAAAATAATTTATAATGGATTTTATTAAAGTTAAATACTTAATTAATAATAATTAATAACTATTTATAATAAAAATTAACAAAATTATATTAATTTTGTTATTTGAATGTTGAAATACTAAAATCACCAATTATTGACCGAAGAAACCCAATAAATGACCGACCGTTCTCCAATTAATTGACCGCTAAAATAATTATAAGTAATTTTGTAAACTATATGTATGTAATTAAATTTATGGAGTACTTTTGAAGTATTAACGACATCTTTAATAAAACTAAACATACAATATAATTTTAAATCGTACACGGAGAGAAAAGAATAGTAATTATTACCATTCTACATGGTAACCAGGCTCATTTTCAGTAAAATGGTAAATGATGCTATGTAGAATAGGATACATTACCATTTTTCTGGTAATGATTACTATGCTACATTGAAACGAGTGAAGTGGTAAATATCGCTAGTCTGCACGGGAATCAGAGCTATGTAGACTGGTAATGAGTCCCATGCTAGAATAGCTGTCCCTACAGTTTAATAAATATACATGCTATAGTATGCGCGAAAGTTTGCGCAGTAGCATGCGTGTATGTGTTTATGTATGTGCGAAATTTGGCGTCATCTCCTTTGTTTATGATTTTATTATTTTGTGTAAAAAATTTATTAAATCTACAAACTAAATTAACAAATTGATTTTAATAAAAAGTAAATAATGGTTGATCGAAGTGTATATAAGTATTTGAACATTTAAATAATAATTGGCCAAAATGTAATTCTAATAAATAAATTATTGATTGTTTATTACAAAGCATTTTAATTAATTTAATTATTATTAATTTATAATTAGAAAATTATATAATAATTGTAATTTTATTGTTAAAAGTTAATGATTATTAAAAAAATATGTTTTATGTTCTGATTTGCTTTTAATCTAAGTTATTGAGCAAGTTGAAATTCCAATAAATTACATTTTGATTGTTTATTACAAAGCATTTTAATTAATTGAATTATTATTAATTTTCAATCAGGAAATTATATTTCATTATAAGTGCTCATTTAATTATTTCAATGAATTAATGTAATTTATGTATGTGTATTTTAAATAACCTGATTTACGGATTCTATCATAACCTTATTCACTAAATGTTACATAAATAACATAGCAAATATTGCTAGGTAAAATTGTAATCTCGTCCATTTACATAGTCCGCTCGTCAATGTAGAATGGTAACATAACCAACGTTACCATGTAGAATGGGGGGGATTACTTTGCCACTTGACTCTCATCGCTAAAAAATCCTCGTTTCTATGTAACATAGGAATGATTACCATTCTACATTGGAATCAGATCTATTCTTTTCTCTCCGTGTACTTTTTCATCAAATAATATAAATAATAGCAATAATTAATATAAAGTCACATTTCTTTAGGTCACAAATAATCACAAATTCATTTTAATGACGATAATTCTTCTGATTAACTTGAAATTTTTTTATTCTTCTCCTTCTTTTTTTCAATTAAAGCTTTTTTACTAGCTTGTAACTCTTTTTTATTTTTTTAATTGCTTAGCAATTTTTTCTTCTAATAATTCGTTCTTTGATATAACCGTTCACTAAAAAAATTACAACAAAATAAAATTTAATAATCAAAAAAGATTTTAAGTATTATTTTAATTGTAAATATACATTTTATAATGATTATTTTTATATTTACAAAATATTTAATGACTAAAGTACTTTAAACACTTGACAGATTTAATTTTGAGATTAAGAAGTTAGTATTATAAATATACGGTGATTAATTGGATTGTGATAAAATCAGAAGGTCTAATAAATGACCGAATGAATTTTTTACTGGGTAAAGGGCTTCTGACGGATCCAATAGTTGACCGGTCTTAAAATAATATTAAAACTTATAATTTAACTTTATTTTTTCAAAAAAGTTGGAATCTGATCTTTAATTAACATAATAAAACTAAAATATTTTATATTATGCCGATAAATACCACTAAATTAATGATGAAATGCACTCACTCTCCAATTGTACGCTAGTTATTTTTGACCGCTTTATGGCTGGTTGCGTTGTAAACAAACTCAGAATATTTTTCTAAAGCTATAATCACTGCGCAATTAATTGCGTAATTTTTTATTGTGATGATTAAATGCCATATTTTTTTATTTTAATCCTTTAAGAAAAAAAAACCCTTGTAAAATATTAATTAATTAACTTTTTTATACATCGGTCAACTAATTGGTGACCGGTCAACAACTGGTGCATTTACCCTATTCCAAATGTTTATTTTTCCTACTATAAAATCAAAAATAAAAATCTTTCAGATGAAAATTGTCTTCTGTGCGACTCCAGCGCCAGCAGTAACCAAGCTTACGAAGACTCGTATGACTTGATGAATCTTAACCTAGACTCACCCGAGTCTCAGGAAATAACTTCTGACGGCTTCCAAAAAAGTCCGCAAGACTTGGAACTGTCTTACACGTCATTGACGTCGTCGGAAATAAGATCAAGCTTAACCTCACGGAACGAGTGTTCTCGGCGACCAATCCGCTGCCCGAGATTAGACTGCGCAATAAACATTGCGTTTTCTTCCCTTATAAATCATTTCTTGTTCGATCACCCGGAGGTTCCGATTCTGAGCGTGGAACCCGGTGTCAAGAGCACCCTGGTGTTTAACAAGTCAACTTTTTTTCAGGACTCTAACCTCTGTCTTGCTATTCTTCTAATTTCGGGCAAATTGACGTAAGTATAATTAGGAACTAATTTAATATAAATTAAATTAGCCGATTTCTGAAAATTTTTAGAATTTTTTTATTTAAAAAAATTATTTAAAAAAAACTAAAAGAAAAGATTTGACATGTTGAAAATTTGAAAAAAATTTTAAGTTCAATTTTTTGAAAATATTTTTTTAGTTTTAATTTTTATTGATTAAAAAAATCAAAAATTTCTAAATTTCTGCTAATTTTAATATCATACTAATTTATAACATGGGAGTTAGCAGTCACTATAAAATTTTTTATAACAAAAAAATTTGTTCTAAAAAATTATTTTGCAAAAATTGAAATTTAAAATAATTAAAAGTTCAATTTTATTAAAAAAAATTTTTTTTTTTGTATAATTGATTTGGAATAAAAATAAAAAAAAAATTTTCAAATGTCTGCTGATTTCAATAATATAAAAATTTTTTTAAATTAAATTATAACTAAAAAAATATTTTCAAAAAATTGCACTTATATTTTTTCAAATCTTCCAGATGTAGAATTTTAATTTTAATTTTTTCAATGAGCGTGTTCAGCCGAACTGAGTAAACTTAGTTAGCCTAAGTATATTCAAAGCATTCCCTGCTGTACATATATCTATCTACTATACTATACATATCTTACTAAGTTTACTGAGGACTTAGTTCGGCTGAACACGCTCAATGAAAAAAAAGTCCTAAAAATTGTCAGATGTCAGCTAATTTTATTTTCATAAAAATTTTCAGTGATCAAGTAGCTCGTTTGTTCAACGGAAGTCAACTTCACCCAAAATATCGAAATCGGCTTCCATTGCCGGTTCTAGCCGCCAGATTGCGTTCCAGTTCCGCTGACCCACTCAATTACGAGATGGAAGTTATTGTTCTGTGGATCGCGAGCCTAGATGTCGCTACTATCGGAACAATCTGCTATTCGATAGAAGTACTGGAACAAAGTTTCATAGCTAGTTATTACTCGATTAATTAGTATAAAATATTTAATTAACAGGTAGTTGATGACTTGAACGACTGTATCCGATCGTTGAGATACACTGGACCGGTAAATTCCCTCCGGATTGCGCAGCGTCCAAGAGAAGTTCTCAGGAACGGAGATTGTTTGGTAGTTCATCGGGAACTGATTAACCAACTGACGGCTGCGGGTAACCTCAATATAAACGTGGTCGTCAATTAATATAGAAGGTTATTAATTGTTCTTATTACAAATGATAAAATAAAGTACGTGATTTATTTTATTTAATATTTTAATATAATTGATAAAGATAATAAAAAATATATATGTATAAAAAACGATGGCAAAAATTAAAATTACAAGCTAGTCATTGCAGGAGGACGAGCGTAAGCCTTCGGAATGAATCCGTACTTGCGAGTTTTTGGAGCGTACGCCCAGAGCCACCCGTCGACCGTTTGATTCCCTAGATCTGCGTAGATCCAGTCTGCTCTACGTACTGATAAATCGTCAGGCGCCTGCGCCTTGTAATCGTACAACACGACTAATTCAGTGCCTGTCGTTTCATCCCTCAAGTCTCTCACGTCTTTTTGCTGCTGAGGTTGCTCGTTTTGGGCCGGAGAATTCCGAACTCCTGAAAAAAAGTTATTGGGAATAAGTTTAATTTATTTTTGCACGCCTCAGAGCGCGAAGCGCGTGAGATAGTGCTTTACTCATGTCCCGTCAAGGTTAAGCAACTTTGTGATCTTTAAATGCCTCTATTACAACCACATTGCACTTATACGTAGATATTTCTTATTCTTTTAACGTTATCTTTCAAAATTGCTGACGGTGATGTTCATACGCCAGTGTCTGGGCAGAGCACACCATATTACCAATTTATTCCTGTAGCGTAATGATACTTAAAACTGCAATGCATCTTTCTTACAGAAAACATTGAAAAATATATTACAGAATTCTATTTAAAAATCTTACTTTAATTTATGTTGTAAAATCAATTTCAGAATAAACAGTAACAATTTAGTTAGAATTTAAGGGGGGCGATACATGTAAAAAAAAAAGAAAATCGATTTTTTTTTTTTTCATAAATCGTTAGAATATCATCTCAAAAATATGCCTGTAAATTTTCAAAACAAAATTATCATTATTTATATATTAAAAGCTGATTAATCGGTAAGTGACTGTAATCATACAGTTCTGTGTGTCAAAACTTTAAGGTAGTTGTAGCGTGAAAGCCATTTCAACAGAAAGTTATGAAATTTTTTTTATCGAAAGATAAATATATTAATAATTCACTACCAAAATTTCTGATCAATTGACCGCACCGTTTTTGAGTAATTAATTTTCGAAATTGCTGTTGTCAATTGGGCCAAAGAAAATGGCCTAGAAATAAATCTTTTGAAAACTAAGGCCATGCTTTTAGGATCTAACAGTAAAGTCAAAGCATTGCAGCGTGAAGGCTTACCACAAATCGTTATTGATGGGGTGGCTCTACCTTTCACAGAGTCAGTAAAGTGTCTGGGTCTCCATTTATCGCATAACCTTTCTTGGAATTCTCATGTTTCAAAAACAATTAGTAAAATCAATTCAACTTTGTACAGCTTAAAATTACGTAAAAATATTTACACTACTAGAATCAAAAAACTCTTAGTCTCAGCAACCATTCTGCCTCTAATCGATTATTCCTCCATTGTCTTAATGAATTCAACTTATGAAAATGACCGTAAACTCCAACGCTCACTAAACTCAACTGTACGCTTTATCTATAGATTAAAACGTGATGAGCATATAACTCCTTACAGGCGGGAACTTGGCTGGCTTTCTGTTAAAAGTCGTCGTATCTATTTTGCTGCTTGCTATTTTTACAAATTGTTAGTTATTGAAAAACCAATGTATTTACGTGAATTATTCATTGAAGATGACTCTGTTAGACGCTCGGAAAGATTGGCAGCCAAGAAAAATAATGTTAACTTTAAGCTACCAAATTTTACAACGACACAGTATGAAAATTCGTTTGTCATTACTGTAATTCGCTTGTGGGAGCAATTGCCTGCTGATATTGTTGATTCTGCGAGCTTGGAGATTTTTAAAAATAAGATGTATGACTACTTATTTAATCTGGATATTTAAACAACACTCATTTAGTTGAATTTTATTATTACTTATCGAATTTTTGTAAAGCCGTTGAGCAAATTGGTTAAATCAGAGTGATATATTTTATGTTATTTATTTTTTAATAATGATCCTAGTCAATATTGTTAATTTACCGCTCAAATTGTATACTTTTTAACTATTTCTGAATGTATATATAATGTACCCTTAATTATGTCTGTATTTTTTATAAAATTGCCATTCGGCCATCAGGCCTTGGCATAATAAAGCAAATCTGTTTATCTATCTATCTATCATCTTTTACACGTAGAGGTATAGAGAGATGGTAAAGTTAGTATGAAATCTTTGGCCCACTCGAGTGGTACGGAAGATTTCATACTAACTTTACCATCTCTCTATACCTCTACGTGTAAAAGATGCAATTTCGAAAATTAATTACTCAAAAACGGTGCGGTCAATTGATCAGAAATTTTGGTAGTGAATTATTTATATATTAATCTTTCAATAAAAAAAATTTCATAATTTTCTGTTGAAATGGCTTTCACGCTACAACTACCTTAAACACGTTTTTCTCGAAATGACTTTTTTGAAATTTGCGGGCGAGATAACTCAAAAAGTTCTCAACCGATTCCAATGAAATTTTTTACACGTCTACTTTATAGTAATAGCTTCTAGTTAAACCTCAAACATTCCAAAAAAATTTTCAAAAATTAATCCTTTTCACCAAAAAACCATTGAAAAAGGGGTAAAAAATCTTGAAAAATGTACTTCAATATATAATAAATAACCCTACAAAATTTCAAAATGATTCAATTATTCCTTCCCAGTTTAAAAAGTCCTCAAAAAACGGTAAAAATTAAGGCGTTTACATGTATCGCCCCCTTTAACAACTAACCCTGATTAAAAAAAAAAGTATTGAAAAGTATTGGTTCTCGAGTCAATCTAATACTTTTCAATACTTTTTTTATTTAGGGAATGATTAGTTTTCTAGTTGGCAAATTTTACGTTATCAAATAAACAATCAAATGTGACTATAGTTTAGACAGTAAATTTTGTGTCAGTTATTTAGAAGAAAATTGGGCCTTCTTTCAAGGTATAACAATTTACATCAAGAAATCACTTGTAGTAAACCATTTCATACTTTTTAAAAATCATTTTATGTTGCTACTTTGAAAAAAAAAAAAAAAAAAACGTTTTGAAATAGTATATTGTGTGACTAGGGTCATTTAACTGACAGTGCTGAAAGAATTTGTTCTGAAACAAGATTTCTTCATTAATAATTACCTAGACTATGATCAGCTGTCGTTGTGACCGGTGAAGTTGTTGTCGTTGTTGTACTGGCAGTTGTTTGATAAGAATGCAACACATGACCAGGATAAACGAATCCGGAGGGAACAAACCCTTCATTGCCGTCACAATGGCGGAGAACCCAGAACCAATCGGGATCATCGCGATTCAATACTGTCACGAATTCTCCGCGTTCTACGCTCACGTCGTTTTCGTCTCGTGCGACGAAGGTGTATAAAACTATATACCTTCCTGCTGATGGATCCTGTATTTAAAAATATATTATTATTATTTGAGAAGAAATTTTTTTAATTAAATAAAACTTAAAACAAAATTTCTTAATAATAACATTTTCATACTACGGGTCTATCTGTTGGGTCTGACAATTGATCACAGGGTGGGAGGCTTAGCCATTAGCCATTATTACAGTCAGGGTGGGGAATTTACTCATTACCAGACTTAATCATTATTATATTACTCATAGTTAGTTAGTATTAATAAAGTGTTCAGACCAGAAATGCTTTGTACAATTTATATATATTCAACCAATTAAAATATATTATCCTGTTCCTAAAGTCAATAGGTTATGGGCCCAGCACGCTTCTACTGCATCGATATTTTAGAAGCTAAGTTATTTTTTAAGTATTATTAACAGAATGGAAACTGCTAAATCATTACCTAGTTACTACAAAAATAGCTGCAACTTCCTAAATATTTATTTTTTCAAAAAATTGTAAGAGACTAAAATTGTAGTTTAGAAAATTTCCTAACAAAAACATTTTTATACTATAGGTTAGGGTGGCGCAAAAAAACCGACTATTTTTTTTTTTTTAGTCTCGAGTGAAAAAATGTTAGTTTTTGATGTTTTAAGAAACCTTACCAAAGGACAGCTCAAAAAAAATTTTTAAGAGGTTACTCCAAATTTTTCAAAATTTCAAAAATCGTCAAAAATTGAATTTTTTTTTTTTAATTTTTTTTCTTGTTACGGTATAATTTTATAGACCAAAAAAAAAATAAGTTTCTTAAAGTTTCAGTTCAAAATTTAAATTTTGACAGGTCGCTCATAATTTTTTTTATTTTTCGTTAATTAGTCATATTGCCGACTTTAAGTGTTGGGAGTGGTATGTTGGGGTCTTTTTGGTTTGAAAAAATCTTAACCTACGCGGCAAGGTCAAATCTCAACCAAACTGGTTTTTAAGACCAGCTTGGGATTCGAACTCGCGCTTGGCAGTTGATTAAATAAAATTATTAAATTAAAAAAAAATTATATTTTTTATGTTGTGCTTGATTTTTAGTTCATCTCGTGATGTATTCTTATCGATTATTGTACTAAATAAAAAAAAATGCATGGAATTTTAATTTGAATAGTAAAAGGTCGCTCGAAAAAATCTAAACTAATGCACTAATAAATTGAAAAAAATTATGAGCGACCCTTCAAAATTCGAATTTTGAACTGAAATTTTCAGAAACTTATTTTTTTTTAGTCTATAAAATTATACCGTAACGAGAAAAATAATTAAAAAAAAAAAAATTCGATTTTTGACGATTTTTGAAATTTTGAAAAATTTGGAGTGACCTCTTAAAAAATTTTTTTTGAGCTGTCCTTTGGTAAGGTTTCTTAAAACATCAAAAACTAACATTTTTTTACTCGAGACTCAAAAAAAAAAAATAGTCGGTTTTTTTGCGCCACCCTACTATAGGTCTATCTGGAGCATGAAGTTCCACTAAAAAAACCCTTATTTTAACTTGAAACCTTACTTTTACTTGTCTACCTCATAACCCAAACCAGGTTCCTGGGCCCATAACCTGTTGGAATCTCTAGTGGAATACTGGTTCAGGTGAATGAGTAGTTACAAGGAGCCGTTAAATATGCATCTTTACCTGATGGTTTATTATAGACTAATAAGTGATTAGTACAATTGTATTCTTATGATATATGTAGTGATGATAATAGGATAGTGGGGGTAGTTAGAATGATACGCATGAGCCGATGACTCTAACACTATCTTCAATATTTTAGGAGGTAAGACCAAAAGGATAACTTAAAAAATTTCCTAACAAAAGCATTTTTATACTACTGAACTATCTTTAATATTTAAGAAGATATGTTTTATTTTAATATAAATTACCTTGAAGAAAGGATGAACATCAGGCTGCGACAAAATGGTTTGGATCGAGTTCTGCGACTGCGCAATATTACGATTGATGTTAATATCAGCAGTCGTAATATTTCTGGCATAACTCTCGCAATCTGAAGCCGAACCAGTGTCCGTATGTTGCGAATCTAATATTTGCGAACGCGAACTACTATTATTGTTATTGTTATTATTTGTGTTATTGTTGTTATTAGTACTGTTGTTGTTATTGTTCAGTGTCGTTGTTGTCGACCCAGCAGAGGTTATGTTGTCACTGTCACCGTCGTTCGACCGCGGGAGTTTTTTCTTCACATTGTTCATCAAGCTCGCGAGAGTTTGTTCTGCGAGCTGAGATGTGTAAGGTGCGCAATACGAATGTGGTACGAATCCTTCCATACGTGTGTCTGCTGCTATTACATACACCCAGTCGTTTTCTCTGTACAATATATTAACAACCTGAAAAAATTAATTTATTGTTATTATCAATTACTGTATTTATATTTATTTTTTAAATAATAAGTTTTGATAAAAAAAAAAACAAAAAAAAATATTTATTCTGATAATTTTTAGGATTTTTTTTTTTGAGCAAATAAATTATGATAAGAAAAAAATTTACACATAAAAATTAAATAGAACTATAAATGCACTTTTTTTGAATAATTTTCGAAAATTAATTAATTTAAAAAAAAATTCCTAAATTTGTCAAATTACTGATTTAAGTATCAGAATTTAATGATGTTAAAAGATGACAAACATCTGATAATTTTTTTTTTACCAAATAAATTATAATAAAAAATAATTAAAAACGTAAAAATTGTAAAAAACTAAAAGTACGTTTTTTTTTAATAATTTTTTAAAATTAATTGATTAAAAAAAAATTAAGTTAGCCGACATCTAAAAATTTTTAGAATTTTTTTTTTATTAAACAAATTATTACAAAAAAATTTTCATTTTTTAGAAGCTTGAAAAACTGTGAGTGCAATTTTTAAAAAGTATTTTTTTTTTTATAGTTTAATAAAAGAAAAAAAATTAAAAACGTCGGCTAACTTTAGTAGTATCAAAATTTTTTAAAAAATTGCCCATAAATTTTCAAATTTTTTACATGTAGAATTTTCATTTTTTTAAAATAAAATTTCTAGTAAAAAAAAACCTTAAAAATTATCAAATGTCTGCTAATTTAATTTCCATAATTAATTCATAAAAAAAAAAGTTCCAAAATGTCTAAATGATAGATACTAAAACTAGCCGACGTTCAAGAATTTTTGACTTTTTTTTATTAATTAAATTAGAACTAAAAAAACATTTTTAAAAAATTGCACGTATAATTTTTTAAATTTTCTATATGTGAAATTTATTCTTTTAATTGTTTTTTAATAATTTTTCAATAAAATAAATTACAAAAATTTTCAGATGTCGGATAATTTAATAAGTTAGGAAAATTAAGTTAGCCATGTGAAAAATTTTTAGGATAGTTTTAATTGAAAAAATTGTTAGAAAAAAAATAAAAAAAAAATTTAATTCGTAAAAAACTTGAAAAACTATAAGTGCAATTTTAAAAAAATATTTTTTTAGTTCTTATTTAATAAATGAAAAAAAATTAAAAACGTCGGCTAACTTATGAAAATTAAGTTAGCCGACATCTGAAAATTAAAAAAATTTTTTTTATTAAAAAAAAAAATTTTAAAATTAAGCGTGCAATTCTTTTTAAATATTTTTTTTTAGTTCTAATTTAATTAATAAAAAAATAATCAAAAATTGTTGAAAGTCGACTAATTTTATTATCATGGCAAAACGAAAGTTAAATTAGCCGACATCTAAAAATTTTTAGAATTTTTTTTATTGAAAAATTATTAAAAAAAATTTTAATAATTTTATTAATCAAAAATTGTTGAACGTCGGCTAATTTTAGTATCATGTCTAACTTAAGTATTATTAATTAAATTTAAATCCAAGTGTCATAAAATGAATATCAACAAACCTGTCCACGTTTGACTTGCAATTCATCATCAACGCAAGGCGTAAAATCATGAATAATAACCATTTTACTGTCAGGAGAAAGACCATTTTCTTTCTCAATCCCAACTCGAACAAGTGTCTCAATGCTCGCACTACCTGTAATCCTTCCTGGCGGCAGTGCCACCCGATTAGATCCTAAACCAACAGTGGATCCCAGTCCGTCTTTCTCAAGACTGAAATTGTGCGCGCCCGCTGAAATCAAATGACAATTTTAAAATAAAAAAAAAAAAAAAATCCTACACACTAAAACTAAACAAAATAAAAATAACAACATACGTTTCTTCTTCTTCCCACGTCGTATCCGTACAGGGCATAAAAAAGCCATTGTTTGTATTTATCTAACCAACAAAATAATAAATCACCAAAAATAATAAATTATTCCTGCAAGTGAGATGTATAATTGTCAATGTTACATTTCACATGTAAACAATTAACCTAAAAATTTCCAACATCCATTTTCAGGAAGAAATAACTAACCGACGTTCAATGAACCGAGTAATGTTGATGCAAAACTGGACTTTATAACAATGCTTAAATATATTGTCAAAGGAAAATAAAGTTAAAATCAAGTATCACGAGCAACGACGTAGGTCTAGACTGTAGATCAGTTGGATCACTGAATCACTGTAGCCTGTAGCTGTGGATCCCTCGGCAGGACACCAGAACGCAGTAAGTATACTCGGGTCTCAGGTAAGTTTTAACCTGAAATATATTTATATATATATATTAGTATTAGTATGGAGGTGTATATATACTTACATGTGTGTGTTGTAAGTATAAGCGGATCCACCTGGTACTGGACGGCGGACGGGATTTAAAGAGTGGTGGCTGTGGCCTGTCAAACCACTGTTACCTGGACCCCAAGTTGCTCTCACTGCTCTCACTCTTCGGGCTCTTCTATATAATTCGCGTGCTCTGTCCTTGTTAACATTTAACATTTGGAATCGCTTTAGTCATTGACCTGGATCAGATGAAGATATTGTTCTTCTCGAGAGTAACAAATTACTATTTTTATTTTTATTTATATAATTAGATCATTTTAGGAGATTTTTATTTTTATGAAAATTACTTATTTCTTCTTTCTTTTTTAGATTGTCAAAATTTATATTTTTAAGTTGCCCCAATTTTATGTTGTAAATTACGACGGCCGGGGACATTGACTTCGGTGCAATTAGTTGATTGTTACTTTGGGAATAAGCTAATGGGTAATTGTTTAGGTTGGTTTTTTTTTTTTCACTTTGAAAAATTGGAAAATTAAATTGATCAATTTTTATTGATTTTTTTAAGTCAGAAAATAAAAAATTGTTTTTTTTTATTGAAATTTTTTAGATAGGGTAAATGCACCAATTATTGACCGATTAAGGTTTTCTTTTTCTGTACTAAGCTATAAAAAAATCTATTAACCTACTAAAAACAATTTGTAATGGATTTTATTAAAGTTAAATATTTAATTAATAATAATTAATAACTATTTATAATAAAAATTAACAAAATTATATTAATTTTGTTATTTGAATGTTGAAATACTAAAATCACCAATTATTGACCGAAGAAACCCAATAAATGACCGACCGTTCTCCAATTAATTGACCGCTCAAATAATTATAAGTAATTTTGTAAACTACATGTATGTAATTAAATTTATCCAGTACTTTTGAAGTATTAACGACATCTTTAACAAAATTAAACATACAATATAATTTTAAATCGTACTTTTTTATAAAATAATATAAATAATAACAATAATTAACATAAAGTCACATTTCTTTAATCAAATTCATTTTGATGACGATAATTCTTCTGATTAACTTGAAATTTTTTTATTCTTCTCCTTCTTTTTTTCAATTAAAGCTTTTTTACTAGCTTGTAACTCTTTTTTATTTTTTTAATTGCTTAGCAATTTTTTCTTCTAATAATTCGTTCTTTGATATAACCGTTCACTAAAAAAATTACAACAAAATAAAATTTAATAATCAAAAAAGATTTTAAGTATTATTTTAATTGTAAATATACATTTTATAATGATTATTTTTATATTTATAAAATATTTAATGACTAAAGTACTTTAAACACTTGACAGATTTAATTTTGAGCTTAAGAAGTTAGTATTATAAATATACGGTCATTAATTGAATTGTGATAAAATTAGGGGGTCTAATAAATGACCGAATGAATTTTTTACTGGGTAAAGGACTTCTGACGGATCCAATAGTTGACCGGTCTTAAAATAATATTAAAATTTATAATTTAACTTTATTTTTTCAAAAAAGTTGGAATCTGATCTTTAATTAACATAATAAAACTAAAATATTTTATATTATGCCGATAAATATCACTAAATTAATTATGAAATGCACTGACTCTCCAATTGTACGCTAGTTATTTTTGACCGCTTTATGGCTGGTTGCGTTGTAAACAAACTCAGAATATCTTTTTAAAGCTATAATCACTGTGCAATTAATTGCGTAATTATTTAGTATGATAATTAAATGCCATATTTTTTTATTTTAATACTTTAAAAAAAAAAAAAACCCTTGTAAAATATTAATTAATTAACTATTTTATACATCGGTCAACTAATTGGTGACCGATCAACAACTGGTGCATTTACCCTAAAATGACTTGAGATTATTTATTGAGAAATAACTTTCAGAAATTTTCTAGTTTCGAATGAATTTCAGAAATAGAAAGTACAATCGAGTACTATATCGCAATTGGTGTGAAAGAAAAATATATCTTCAGAAATAATTAAAAGAAAATAAAACTGTTATTATTGTTTATTTATTGACTTGCACTTACTAAAAAAAAAATGTAATGTTAAGTCTTGGAAATGACATTAAATCATTGGAATTTTATTTTTATTTTTTCGAGTGGAAGTGAAAAAGTATGTCTGATTAATTATGGATGTATCCACTTGATTCTCAGACGCGCTATTTTTATTCAATCGACTTTTTATTCCACTAGTTTCTATTCTATTTTATAAATATTAATAATTTTTCTGTTTTATTTATCAGCTATATTTAAGTGCTATTTGTGTTGTCTAGCTATCAGTTGTTTTAGTGTGGCTATTATCGTGGAAATATGCAATTAAATAGCGGTACATTGCTGGGGTGAAGAATGTAATGTAAGGGATGTATATATACAGTTCCGCATACATTGTGGGCGATATTAGATGGTATGAGTATGCTTGCGCAAACAATTTATATTGTTCAAGATAATTGCACACAAAATTTACATTAATTTTATTTATTGTTCTATGCAAATGCAGAAAATTTTTTTTAAAAATTAATTTTTTCTACCAGGAATAATCATAAAAAAATGATAGTTTACACTTGGAATAATTGTACACGACAAATAGACCGTTATCTAAAAAGTCACACCAAGTTCAAATGTCATTGTTGAAACTGACGATTTAACGACTGAACTTTTCACTGTAATAGCAATAGTTGTAACCTTTTATTATCCGTTTTAAATGCCGTGGAGGAGATAAAAATATTTTACACACATGCTTGATGAGTTAGATAATGATGGTCGCTACATATAATTTAATTGTTGTTATAAAATATATAATAATTATAATTAGCTGTTTAAGCCAGCTATATTTTACAATAGAATCTACTTTCAAATGACAATAATTTTCAACCTACAACCTACTGTAAATTTTCAAAAGTTTATATTGCATTGTAAAGGCACGTATTGGATAAAATATTCTTTAACTTGAATAAAAAGTTTATTTTTTTAAATCAATAATTCCCTCGTAAAAAAAGTAAAATTTATCAAAGTCATAATTTAAACTTTAACGTTTAACAACTTTTGAACGTTTATATTTATTACACTCGTAAAATTGTTGGTAAAAATATGTCCTGAATATTTCCATACTCTTCTTTAAAAGCGGATTATGTTAAATATAGATCATTTTTTATAGAATATATATTTGAATAAATAATTAAATTGAGCTGTAATTAGAAAACTAAATAGTAAAGATTAATAAAAGAAAGTACACAGAAAAAAAAATTATCTTAAATCAAGAAAATAATTTTGAAAAATTTTATTATCTTGATTTAAGTAAAAAAATTTTTAAACTAAGAAATTTTTCTTGGTTTAAGTAAATTTTACTTAATTCAAGAATTCTTCGTCCTGATTTAAGACAATAAAACTTTTCAAAATTATTCTCTTGGTTCAAGAAT